GGAAGGAAGGAAGGAAGGAAGGAAGGAAGGAAGGAAGGAAGGAAGGAAGGAAGGAAGGAAGGAAAGGAAAGGAAGGAAGGAAGGAAGGAAGGAAGGAAAAGCAGAAAGTAATGGTCCTTTCCATGATGCTATCAATTTAATATTATAGCAAACCCTGAAATGAGTCTTCTGGGAGACATAAGTATAACTCCACTGAGAGTACTACAGGATCTGAGCTGATGGAGCTGACAGAGCACATTTTAGAGCACTAGCTTTTGAAGAGATGTTTATTTGTGTCCTTCTGTGATTCTCAGCATCACCAGATGAGCTGAACACAGATCTGTCTGGTTGCTACTGAGAGGGGAGATCATTGAATTCTGGGTTTTGGAGAAGCTTGGAAAAGACCTTTTGATATCAAAGGCAAAAAATCAAACCTGACCATCTCCATTTTTGAGTTTTCTGTCTGCAGCATGTAAACAGACCTGCATTTCAGCAGATATTTTGAAATTGATTCTCTTAGGATTTCTCAGGGAAAGTATAAAAAGTTACTGGAAACTTCTACAAGTCTTGGCCTGTTCAATTTCAACAACATTTAGCCTGGAGTTTTAACCTCAGGCTAAGCAGCTAGGGCCATGATGGGCAACTTTTATGGCTTTGTATTATTTCAGCTGCTACCCACAGCCTGCTTGTCTCCAGGAATGGCCATGGGTGGCAGCTATACTAACACGAAGGCATCGGCATGGGCCCTGCTCCCTCCTGGAAGAGCGAGCACAGTAGCAGAGTATTTGACTATTCAGCTGGTGACTTATGTGAGTGATCTTCCAATGTTGGATGTAAAGGATCACATAAGCTAAGAAATACAGTTTCAAATGCCCTTCATTTTATGACATCCCTGGCTGCTTGGCATGGGTGTTTGTGAGTCTACTTCCATAAGAAGTCAAGTGTATTTATGCTTTCTATCTTCTGCCCTTAATTCCTAAATACAACTAGTGAAACAGGAGAGAACTGGTCTCAGTGGATGGTGCTTAGATCCCTTAGTCTTGTCATTTGATGTAGTCTTAATAGTTGGCAAACTTGGCGCTCATAAATGGTACTGGCTGTGCAGAAGTGCATCCATCCATCCAGGCACCTTTCTGCCAGCACCGAAGTTATCCTGCCTGGCCTGAAAAGGTGTCAGGCACCACGTCACCAGGGACTTAAACACACAAGCTGAGAATGAGGAAAGCAAACACGTCTGGGCCAGGTGTCTCCTAACACTTTACTGCATCTGCAGATACTTCTGTGCCACATATGGGCAACTAGAAGGTTGAAGGAGGGCAGGCAGAGTTCTTGAGTGGCAGCCTTTGTCTATATATTATATAAGTAACTTCCAGGCATGCTACGGACCAAGGTTTCAGGACATTCATGTAATATGTGTTTGTATAGCTTTGTTTTGTCTTGGTGTTTCTTAGTTGTTTAAAAGATTAGAATATCACCTCCCACACAAGATATTCATCTGTTTTAGTAGAGTTGGATTAAATTAATGAGCTGTTTTCTGGAGCCCAATTTACCAATGGGATCTGATGAGGATGAGTAAGATGTCACCTGTGGTTGTGTAGCATTTTCTGAGGGTTAAAAGCTATTCATGACCCCATCCTCTCTTGCTTCCTAAAGGCAACTGCAGGGAAATCTCAGGGATCTTTCAAAGTAGATCAAAGATCAAAGAGATGGGCATGAGATTGAGGACATGGAGGCAGTCAGCTGTTCATCTGTGCAATGGTTGCTTCAGAGCAGTCACCGCAACTTGGATCTTGAAGGGCAACCAGCTGCACCAGGAATATCCTATAGCAGAGCCATTGATTAAATGTCTTTTGGATGGGACAAGAACAAAGATGGACACTGGTGAAAGCACTTGTGTCGCAGCTGGAATGACCAGGTGGGACAGACAACAGCACAGAGATGAGGGCCCAGCTTGCTGTGAGGGCTGTCCTTGAGGCTGCTTACCTCAAAGTCAGGAGGATTTCACTGGTGTCCAACCATGTCTCATAGGGAGCAAGAACAGTTCTCTGCTTGAAATCATCCTTCATCCAGATGTCTACTGGAGTTAGTTGGGACATCTCTCACACACACAACCTCTCCTTAATTTCCTCTTGGATACACTTTATTATTATTATTTTTATGAGAAAATAGAAAAACATTGCCAACCTGATGGAAGTGAAAACTGCTAGGGAATAAGGCAAGGCTATTTGTCCAAGTGCCTAGGGTTTTAGAAACCTAGACAAAGACCTTGAATTTGTTCTCACTAAGCATAAAACGGTGTTGCTGACCACATTGTTCTCAATTTTTTTGTTGACCCTAAAGCTGCCTCAAGGGGGAAGTTTCTTTTTTTCTTTTCTTGCTTTGCCATGAGACTGGTGAAAAGGCAAAGTGTTAGCACTTTCCACATTCAGAAAAATGTCAACAAAATAAGCCAAAAATCCCCACCAATAAGTCATATGGATGAAGGCAGGCTAGCTCACCATAGTTGGCTGCCCAGAGCACTGCCACAGAAGCTCCAGTTTCTGCTCATTTGCAAGCTATGCCAGGTTTTACCTGCAGTAAATCATTCAGATTTGACACAAATCCTGCATGCTGCTCCAGTTTGCAGATCCTCTCTTTAAATAATGAAGTGGCCACCACATTAAATGCCTTCTTTTTGAGGCTTTGCGCTATTATGGCCACCTTCAATCTCATTAAATATTTGTGCTTGTGCTTTACTGGGTCCATTGTTTAAAGTGTGGCCTGTCCACCTCTTTTTATGCTTGAAAAGATTTTTACTGTGCAGCAAAAATTAAACCTGCCCCAGTTCCCAAATGTGTTCTTTTAAAACCCTGCCATGTATGAGCCCATCTTCACACAGAAGTTTTGACATAATTCAGAATTGTGGACACCTAGAATAAAGTAATTCTGCAGTGTTATGTATCCTCATTTACATGCAAATTACTGAACAGTATATTTGTCTCTATAGAATTTAGCTGATCTAAATGAAAAACATTTTCCGTCAATCAAGTACCAACACAGAAACAGTCTTGTCCTGTTGGAGATGCCTTTATTTAATTCCATCGGAGTTTCTCCTCTGGATTCTAAGGAGATTTCCCACGTAACAGTAGGGACTGTTGTTATTTCTGCCTCATTTCTATAGAAATATAAGTGCTACAAACTACTGTGATGGCGTATATTCTCCGTGTGACAGTAATAGCCTTTACACTGCCTTCTTTGTCTGGTTCCTGGAACTGTTCTCTACCTCAGAATGCCAAAAAGTGCCAGTTCCTTGTGTGACTATCAGCTATCTGAAATAAAAAGTATTAAAAAACAACTCACCTCACATACCTATTCTCCGCAGACAACAAATGCTCATAAATTTCCCTGGCCAACTTCTATAATTTTAAAGATTTCTTCCCGGTGGAAACTTTCATTTCCTGGAAAAAATGCTTTGTAGCGAAGTGGAAGCCAAGCACATGGTCGCTGTAGGGCTATATTGGGAACAGGAACGGGACCACGTCGTCCTGCCGGAGCATTGCGGGTGCAGATACCACGTCCTGGCATGCGGGGCTAAGGCCGTGCCGCTCGCGCTGAGCGGCGCTGGCAGCCGGAGGACGGATGGAGGGAGGAAGGAAGGAGACGGTCACTGGTCACTGTGCAGAAATGTGGCTAGGTGCACGGGAAGGGCACCCTCCAAACAGTTCCCTTGGCTACAGCAGGATGAAAAGGTCTCAGTGCCCAATTTTCCACAGGGCAACTCGGGATAACAGGCTGGAAAGAAAAGCACGGTGACTTAAAACCCTTACTGAATTAGAGTTACTACCCCATACTTTACATAAGGAAAAAGTCAGGTCTATACTCCTTTTTTTTTTTTTTCCTATTTTTGTAATGCCAATTCTGTTTACCTGGGGTTTTCCCTTATCCTGGTTTAGCTGTCTCCAAAGATAGGGAAAATTAATCTCAGAATAAATTTTCCACACAGCTTTGTACCTCTAGAGTAACTTCTCTTTTCACTCATAAACACACCCATGACCTCCAGCTGGTTGCTTTCCCAAAGCACATTACAAGGAATATTCTTCAGATTCTTCAGACATTAAGAGGAATATAATATCTCTCTTTGCAATCACAAACCTGAGGTTTCTGGGCATGAGGCTGTATACAGAATTGCTCCTGCAATGTGCTGCGCTTTGGACCAGACAAGGTAGCAAGACGGTGCAGTTTATGAAGAGTTAATCTTGAATGATCCAGAGGATTTTGAAATTTGTGATTTTCTTATGCTTCATTATGCAGAAAGAGAGAATGAGAGGGGTTTTTTTCTTTTTTTTTTTTTAATTGTTTTCTTTTTCTTGGTTCAATTTTTTATTTTATTCTTCCTTGAACTTTGTACTTGTTTTGTCTTTTGTGGTGATTTCTTTCAGTTGTATGTATTTGCTATTTTCTCCAAACTGGTGCAAACGATTATGTAATTTTGTAAATGCTTTCTTCATTAATAAAACATTTGTTGTTTCTTTGTTTGTTATCGGACATTTTTGAGGTGAAGGAAATCAAGTGAACTCATGCATCTAAAATATCATTCCCAGTTTCCCCAGCTCTGAAGCCAAGGATAGAGTGAATTCTTGTTACATTGCACACGAGCGGAATTATCTTTGAATAGATTCTGATTACAGCTCTCCTTCTGTTACGATTATGTCAAAAACTCAGTGAACACTGATTCAATTGTTTTAACAAAAGAGAACATTTTAGAAAAAAAAATAAAGCTGTTTTGGAGCATTACTTGTTTCTTGGCTTAACTAGTGTTTTAAGTGATCGTTTTAAAGTTCTTCGCTCTTCTCTGGACTTGCAATGATTTTTTTTTTTTTTTAATGTGAAGCGCTTTGAAGTCGCATGGGACTACTATTCCTGCTAGTATTTTCATTGTCAACCATTGGCAGTGGCCTTGACTTGGCTGCCTTGCAAACATCTGACAGAAGGAAATCCCCAGACCTGGAGAGACAAAAAGGCTCCAGAGCTCCAGAGGGTTTGGCAGTGAAGTTGTTACTGGATCACCTTTCTTGAAGAGATGTGTTGATCGAGTGGTCCCTCTAGGTGCATGTCCTGACCACAAAGCTGTGTGTCTCACATTGGTGTCCAGAGCCTTGTTTGGCCCAGTTAGCACCACTAAAGATCTGTGAAGATCTAGAAGATTTCACCAGGTGCCAGTCTGGCTGTGGAGGAACTAAAGCTGTATAATCTCTTAGAAATCTGGGATTTTCACCCTTGTAGGGACTTCTTGCATATTGGTCTCAGATATCACAAGACCCATCTATCTGCAGCACATGTCTCCAATGCAGCCTATTCAGCCTGCATGGTCCTGCAGGAGCAGGACAAGACAGTTCAAATATTAGTTATAGGGAGCAGGTGTCTTTACCAGGAGGGCTGTGGTGGAGGGTGAAGTTGAACCTGACTTTCCCAGCTCCTCACTTCTCAATCGCTCTTCTCTCCTGCAATTTGTCTGTATGAAGTAGAGGCATATAATATAATAGAAGTCTTAATTTCTTTCTCCTGTGAGATAACAATATTAAATATTAACTACAGTAGGTGTCTGAAGTTATTCCATTTTTTTGGCCAGCTAAAAAGAAAAAGAGTCCTCAAAAAGTATAAAAATGGTTTAAAATGAAATATTACATAAATTTGATTTGGGAGTGATGTTGGGAGTTATGCTTTTCTGATATTCAATTTATTAGTTCTTTTTAAATTTTTCCTTGAAAATGTGAGATAAGTGTTTTTATTTTTATTTTTGAGTGAGAGAGAGAAAAAGCTGAGATTCTTCCCTAATTTCAGAGCTGTTAAAGCAAAGAAGATCAGCAAAGTGACAGTGCGTTCCTGAGATTTGGCAGTGTTTCATACCAAGAGAAGCCATGTGTTGAGGAGCTGGTTTGCTTGGTGTGATATTGGAGGCTAGTAATAGAGCTCTTACCCACAGCCCTTTTTGCTTGTCTGGTAGTATAATTAAACAGTTAACACATTTCAGAAGTAATGGTATAATTAATGCAATTAAGCAGGGCATCTTTCTTGTGCAACAAACATAGTGGAGCAGCATTGCTTCTTTCTGCAATATCAGAAGTGTCCTTGTATTCCTGTATCTTCCTACAAGGAGCAAAGTTTTCAGAATTCTTTAGAGTGAACGTTTTCAATAGCAGTACCCTATATCTGGTTGGGAACTGGTGACTTCTCAGGCAAGAAAACGGGTGCTGAGACAATTCTGAAAACACCCTATGTCTGCCGCTTGGTTTCTCTACCCTTTTTCCTGCCACTGAGCCAATGTGTTCGTTCCAAACAGACCTCTCCCTCTGATGAGACGAGCAAGAGGCAGCTTCTGATGCCCCACCGCTCATCGGTGGACCACCCCGACGAGCCGTTCCAGAGGCAGCGGGCAGTGAGCGCTGTCAGCATCATCACCAGTGCCCTGGAAGGTAAGACACATGCCCTTCATTTCCCCTACCCAAACCAAGTATGCGACGATCAGCAAGAACTAAGTGACACAAATGACCCAAATATTAGACCTTTATTATTTTGCAAGGATGCATTGCAGAGAGTTAATTACATTTCCTATAATAGAGGCAGGATAACCAAAACCAATATAATCATTTTGCTACCCAGACACTTACCTAAGCTCTCACAAAATGCTGGTCACATAGTCAAAGTTGGATCTTGTGACATTTTGAGTGCTCTTGGCACTTGATTTGCAGAGGTCTAAGAAGCTGGGGAAGCAGAATTTGGGCTGCTTTGCACACATATCATCTCTCCAGAGCTGCTACAAAGCCTGTCCCAAGCAGACACCTGGTACTGGGTTCATGCAGACCCCTCCTTACAAGCCAGCTAGTTTGATGGGCTGTTGTTCTAATCCCTACATGATATCTATGATTGTTAAAGAACCCCTTGTCCATTAAAAGGCTTCTCAGCACTTGTCCACTGCCCATCACCTGCTGGGATCCTCTGTGCTGGAGGTCTGAACTTCAGTCTCAGCAGAAATTTTGCATTCCCTTTTTACCCATTTATTAACATTATGGTAGCACTTAGAGATCCTAAATGATATGAAGACATTACTTTTCTAAGCCCTTTATGTGCAATATAAAAGAATCTCTTAAAGACCCTTGTGTAAGGGGGTAAATCGAGACACTAAATCGAGATAGGATAGGATAAACTGAGAAAAACATGTCAAACAGGCAATGTGGAGCACTGCAAATTCTGGATTCTCCTTTCTCTGTATTACTGACTATATTGCTGACTCTGCATTACTGACGAATAGCAAAAGGCAAAGCAAGACTAAGAGATTTGTCAGGGAGATTCCCACATAAAGTGACCAGAAGTAGCCTTTCACCTCTCTCAAGTTTTTCTTCTTCAAGAGTATGGACACAAACAGACATGATCTTATGGATCTGTCTGGAAGATTAGGTCCTTTGGGAAGTTTCTTCCCCTAACTATTTATTAGTTTGAGGTGTGTGTCTTTGAAAAACAAATGCAGAATTGGGACTTGGCATTGCAATGACTTTGCTTATGGATGGTTCTCACTGCATTTTAAGTGCTTAACATGAAACTCTGTGTTTGGAGCCTGGAAATAGATAATTATTTCTTGGAAGCAGTTCAGCTTCCCACGGATCTCAGAGCACTGTAGGTGTTTGTGCAACACCAGTACATGCAGGACACCAGCCAATATTGTAAAAGTTTGCAAGAAGGCCCCTGAAGCTGCAGTTGTGTTGTTCAATGAAGGGAAATGCGAAGAGCTGCACCCTGGCTTAGGAGAGGAGGCTGTTTATAAAGTGATTGTAATAACAGGCTTGGCTGAAGTTTTCCTGTTATCAGCTCAGGTTCTAATTATATAGACTAAAACCTTTACACAGCATTCCTTGCCCATAAAGGAATCAGAAAAGAAAAGCATTAAGCAATTCTGTTAATCATTATCATTCAACCATTAACTGCCTTTTTTACCTTTTTCTTTCCTCCCCATTTGATGCAAATTATACTTATGAGGCCATTTCAGTTCTTTCATATTCAAATAAAATGAGCAATGTATAAAAGTTATGTTTTAGGTAATATTTTAAAAGCACCTTTTGAAAGCCCATTGGCGCTTTAGTGCCATTTACACTCTCCTGGTTTTGTATCTGGGCCTTTCAAAAGAAACCGGGCACTTAATTCTTTTTTTCGATCAGGACATTAAGAACGGAAGCCCTATTGATATCCAGTGATACTCTGGCTCCTAGGAGCTTAAATCAGCTCAAAATATTGGATTTAAGCTCTTTCATCTCTTAACTATTTTAAAAGGTTTTACTTAAGTTACATCTAAAATGGAATCTGGAAGATGAGCTAATATATTTCAGATCTGAGTTGAGTGAAGATAGCATGTTCCTCTTTCCCATTTGAACTTAACACAATGGAAAATATAATACAAATCTGAGCCTGCATATAATATTAGACCTTATACAGACCTTATACATTTAGTGTGCTTTTCTCTTTTTACTTCTGAAACTCTTAAAAGGTTGTAGCTTTCAGAATAGGCCAATGTATGATAAGTGCAAGGCAATTGCCAAAAAAAAAATAACATTAGAGCTCCCAAAATGCATAATTTGCCTGCACGCTAGGATAGAAATATTTGTGTCCTAAAAAAAAAAAAAAAAAAGTTTAGTGTAATTCAGGGGATTTTCTCTGTGCTATGAGTCACTTTAAGTATTCCCTTGTCATATAATTCAGTGTAAATTGACTGTTCCTTTACTGTTTGTGACTTAGAGCTTGAGGAATCACACCAGAAATGCCCTCCATGCTGGAACCATTTTGCTGTTAAATTTCTCATTTGGGATTGCTGCCCGTTTTGGCTTTTAATCAAAAAATTTGTCAAGTTCGTGGTTATGGATCCATTTACCGACCTCACCATCACCCTTTGCATTGTGCTGAACACACTCTTCATGGCCTTGGAGCATTATAAGATGACGAAGGAGTTTGACCACATGCTTTATATAGGCAATTTGGTAAGTGAATTCAAACTTGAAATGCTATCTGATAGTTTATTTTCTGATTTTTTAAAGTCATGGAGGAGACCTTGAGAAAAGCCCTTTTTGATATGTTGTCAACAACACTTTGCCTATCTTAGGCGGGAACATCGTCCACCCTATCTAAGCATTTGAAGAAATGAATGGAGAACATGAAAGCATTTTTATTAAACCAAAATATTCTAATACTATTAGTTACCATTAAAGCCATAGTTTTGTCCCCTTGCTGCTGTTTTGCACCAGTTTAAGGAAATGAGATGAAAGAAAGGTTAACAAAGTTTATTTGGGATTTCTCTTAAAGCAATAGCCAATGACATTTCTCATGACTAATGATGGTTTTCAAGTTAAAGAATCCTATGGAAATAAAGGTCTTGGAAGGTGACAGGATGGAACCTGAGCATATCTAGATATATATGCTGCAAACTGTCTGTGTTAACTGCTGGCGAATGCTCTACTGTTCACCTCATACGTCCTGCTCCAGCTGTGGCAACTGTGCCTCTGCCTTGTCCAGCCCTGGGCTCCCTGCCAGCATCGGGGCAAGGAGGCTAATGGTTACAGGGCAAACTCCTGCAGTCCAACCTGCAGCAAGTAGAGAGATAGCCCCAAGGTAAGAGGAAACTGAGAACCACAGCCAAGCTGCAGGAAGAACAGGAAAGCTTTTTCAAGGGGGTTTCTGTGCAATTTATTAACCCAGGGGGCCAGTAAACCTCTGCAGTTACTGCAAAATCGGAGCCTTTTATCTAATTCACTTTCTCTCTGAGTTTGTTCTGAAAATATTTTGCTGCACTAAAACTCAGTTTTAATGTTTAAAATCCTCTTGATTTGGGGGGAGTTTGTGTTGGAAAAGATGCAGGCAGTTTGGCTATGGTGTGATAGAATTTTGTCTGGTCTGGTGGTAAAAACCAAGATATCCTCTAGGATAAAATTCTGAGAAAAAAAAAAGAAAATGGTCCCTGTTAAGTCTGAATTTGAGAAGCTCACAAACAAGATGCAAACAGCCCTTCATTTCTCCCCAGATGACGGCTGTATTCCCTCCAGGTGGGATTCACCTCGCTTAACTCCGGATATCTATAGTGTAGGAGTCCGTCTGAGCGAGTTGCCTATGTCTCCCTTTAAAGTCAATGGAGAGTAATGGACAATTTTAAGGCACAATTAACCTGATATTTTGAAGACATTTACTTTTGGAGAAGGTGGACTGTGCCTTGGAGGCCGCTGACTGTAGTGACCGTCTCTCCACTGACTGTAACAGGAGCTGGCAGAGACTCTACAGATGCGGGTGTCTGCATTTAATTGGGTGAACGTTGCTCTGACAGCTTTAGGTGGGCAGAAGCAATAACCAGGCCACTCATAGCAGTCCTGTGCATCAAGCACAGAGCTCTGGTGCTTTACGAGTCCTTGCTGTTCTCAACATCAGGTTTACTCTATCAGGATGTGGTTCTTCTCCCCAGGCTGTTGGACCTTTCTCTGTTTTTTAAGCTGCTGTGTCTCAGCAAATCTCTATTATTTTGCTGAGCAAAAATCTCTGTTTGACTCTCCTTTGCTCCCAACACATGCTCCTGGCCTTTGTAGAAAGCAGTAGATAAGAGCAGCTCAGAAAGCAACCTGGCAGGACTACCAGCTCTCTTTTGCAAGCAACCCTTGTGTGGGGTGGCTGCTCAACAGTGTGTGACCTCCTCAGATGACTTAAAAATCCTGCTTCAAACCCCACACTAGCTCATCTGGAGAATAAACGTGTCCGCTCCTTGCCCTTTTTTTGGCAGATCAGCTCTTCCCTTTTGCCAGGCCACAGGCAAGGAAACTCTAGACCCTGGCAGCCTTCCCGTAGACCTGGTGCCCGGGCCAAGCTGGGCTGACCTCTGTGCCGACACAGCTGAAGAAAACGGAGACGATGAGCAGGGAGAGGGAAGAAATAAGCAGAGCAGCTTAAAGTATCATACAGAGGATTTCTCAGCACTGCCTGGTGCTCTTTGGTCTGTTTGTGCCGAAGCAAAATAAACTAACAGGCTTATTTTTGTAGCGGTCTGGTAGCCCCAGGCTCCCCTTTCTCAGGGATGAGTAGATAGGGTAGACCACCCTGGCTCTCCCTTGACAGGTTGTCTGATCTCCCCCATAACTGGATTGCAGTCAGAGTGGGTCAGAGGCAGGTAATTCCATTTTCTGGAGGATTTTGCAAAGTCATTTGTAATGAAAATGGACAATTGTGCTGTTCATTGTGGAAGGGAAGGGAGTCCCAGTTGCAGGGCAGCCTGCCAGGTGGCCGCCTTCCCTAAGCCACAGACTAATGAAGCCTTCCTCTCCCCCATACTGATTGCCTCTCGCCTTTGCCTTACAGCTTACCCTCTTTGAGTGATTATAGGAGCATTAGATGGGGGAGAATATTAAAAGGACAGATCTTTGGCATTTTTCCCTCAAAATAATTGTTTTTGAAAAAAAACAAAGGAATGAAAGTGAAATATGGACTGTGTTTCTCTGGGAGTGAGAGGAGTGCTTCCTCTAGCTGTCAGTCACTGGAGATCTGCTGCTCTGATTTTACCATCTACTTCATGCAATTATGCTGCACCTGTTACCTTCAAACTCCTTTAGTTCATCACATACAGAAATCAATATTTTTGAATCTCATCATCAGAACTTATGAGCCTATATATCTTTGCATGTTTCCTCTGTCTATGCAATTCCAGTACTCAAAAACTAGGCAGACAGAGACAGGTTTTCCTGATTTTTGTCTTCCTTCAGAAACTGAGATGTCTTTAGTGATATTAGAGCTTAAATGTCTTGCAATGGTAGTTAAAAAAGAATTCTTAGGATGAAATCTTCTGATCAGCAGTGGCATATTTGGGCGTCAGCACCAGCCAGATGTTAACTTACTTGTTTCTTTTTTCAAGTCTTGGTTGTATTCAGTATCCAGCCTCTTGTACCAGCACAGCAAGCTGTGCACTAGGTGCCAATGAGTTCACAGGGTCGGTTTGATATTCGTAGCTTGTACACGTAGAAAATTCCCCTTGCCTTTAGGAAGGTTCAGTTGTTTTGCTATCTTGCCATGACATTTCCTTCCCAGAAAGCTATTGATTAAAATGATTTAGGTAGAGAAAGTGATCCTCCTGAGTCATTTCTCAGCAAGAGAGTTGCATAATGCACACAGCGTGGTATCATCAGTTTTTAAGGCAGTCCCCTGGACACCATTTCACAGACATCCAGTTTCGTGTTGCTCCCTGTCCTAGGGGGAATTGCAGTGTTCTGGTGGGAGTCACTGGTGTCTCTAACCAGAGTGACTCAGAAATTGCTGGTTTGTTAGGAATCCGAGACAGGTCATTTTTCTAGGCTCTTGGAACAGAACTTTGACAGGATGAGAGCCCAAACTGTTGCAATCAGGTTGTTATTTTCCTAACGAGAAAGAGTTTTCTACATAAGGAATTCTATAAATTGGTTGTCTGGGAGAAGTTATCCATTCACTTCTGAAGCATTAGAGGATAAAGTCAAACTTTCATCAGACTCAGGCCACAATCATTTATTTTCATCCTTTAGTATCTTAATTTTATAATCTTAACTTTCCACATCTTAATGGGCACCACAGCTTTGTTGCTGAGAGCTGATCACAGCTGATGACTTGCTGGGATACGGAAGCAAATATTCATTTTATGAGAAGGAAGCCATTTCTCCTTCAATGTGTGTTACCGAGGTATTAGCTCTCGATCTGATCCTTTCCAATCCACATGGAACATTGATATTGGCTGTTTCATGGAAAATCATGTGTTTACATATAAAAGTACAATAGACAATTGTTCAGAACACAGGGTTGCATACACCTTGTATTGGGACTTAGAATGGAAATAAAATGGCATAAAAGAACTTGATGCCCACATTTTGTCATTTTAGGTTTAAGCCTTGTGTTGTAGGCTTAAACTGCTATTTAGGGAGGTCATATAGAAGTACAAGATCAGATTCTCTTAGATGCTTTACAGGGATGAGTTTGAACCGAGTTTGCTGTCAACAGCCTTCCTTTCTCCTCTCCCTCTGTCTCACAGGTAATATTTATATGTTTCTTTAAAGAAAAATGTTCCAATTAAAAGTTTCACCATATGACATTTGAACTGGGTCATAAATAAGCAATGTGTTCTCAAGATGCTGTGAAGAGAAAATTGCAGTGGCTATTCATAAAAAAAAAGAAAAAAAAAAGAAAAGAAAGAAATCTTGGACTGAAGTTAGAGTCTGTAATCACCTTCTCTGCTGACAATAACCTCAAAATGATTGGAGGCTTGTAATGCCTCCAATTGATAAAATAACAAAATAAAAAGGGATAATGCAACAGGTATGCTACAAACAAAATACCCCTTTAATGCTCCAGCTTCATTCATTCAAGCTTCTCCACTAAAACGAGTTTTGAATGAAATAAAAACATTTAACCTTTATAAAATGCACCTTTACACTTTCTTTTTTATAACTGAGACTTCAGATGACGGGAGGAGATGGAAATGTGTGTTCTAATAAAGAGCTTGAACCCAGATGTCATCGTATGTTTACAGCAATATCAAGTATCATTGTGAAAAGACTAGACAAGCTCCGAATTGCAATGCTGGCAAAGAATCAGCCCTGAAAAATGAAGCATTTGCCTGTAAAATGTTTTTGGCTCTCTCCTACGCTCTCCTGTGTGTCTGTGGAAAGTCAGTGAAAGGAACGTGTTCATAAAGTTACTTTCGCTTCCTGTTTTCTTCCTGCAGGTCTTCACCGGGATTTTTACAGCAGAGATGATCTTCAAAATTATTGCCCTTGACCCCTACTACTATTTTCAGCAGGGCTGGAATATTTTTGACAGCATAATTGTCATACTAAGTCTGATGGAACTGGGTTTGTCCAGCATGGGAAACCTGTCCGTTTTGCGCTCTTTTCGATTGGTAATAATCTTATTCTGCTCTTACTTGTCTTATTCTATTAAATACGCCTACTGACATGAATGCAATGCATTTTCTTGAAAATGAATCTGCTTATAAAGAATTTAATTGCTGCAAACCAATAAAAAGTATGGGACATTAATTATAGACCATGGGACAAAAGGAATTGTTCTAGATATATATCAGGGTAAATGAGAACACAATTTGATTACTTCTGGCTGTAGCAGGTACTTGTAGCACACTTAAGGTGTTTGAGTTCCAATTTGTAATGAAAATCTACCTTTTTTGTGCCTATATACCTGTTAACATAAAAGGAGCACATAATTGATGGCCCAAGAAACACAAGATCTAGTAACACATTGTTTTAGAACTTGTTATTCCTGAACTATGTTATAAACATGCCACCATACTTTTAAAAGTTGTCAAAAGAAAGTGTCTTTGAATTATTCACAGAGTGACTTTTTTTTTTCCCCTAGAAGCAATCAGCATAACAGAGCATCTGTCTTTCCTGGGAACTCCTTAGCTGTCAGCCCTTTTGTTATGCATGGGATAGTGGTATTCTATTAATGAGAGACTGTCGACATATTGGAACAGAAAAGTCGTTTCCTTGCCAGCCTGACATTTGTGTTGCACTTCATGTACCAGGATGTCCATGCTAATCATTCTGGCCATGAGATGCCAGAAAAAGACCTGGAAAATAAATTAGTGGAAGCATCTTTTCCCCCCCTCCCCCCTTTCAAAAATTTTTGGTGCTGTGTGAAAATGTCTATTTTTTTTCCTCAGTGCTGCTAGAACCCGAGTCTCCTGTAAATTTTTGAGCAATCCCCGTTCAATAGGGTTGAAATTAAACCTTCAGTTGAAAATATAGTACAAGAGCTAGGAACCATTTACATCCCCAAAATAGGTCTTAAGTAGGACGTGGGTTGTGCATAGACTGCATGAACCTCAACACAGAGGTGATTTTCACCCTGGGAACCAACAGCTAATAGCATCTGGCTGAGGCTTGCTCTAAAACACAGAGGAATTGCTTCTCTCTTTGAAGGATCAAGCCCTAATCCCCTTCCCCCAGGTACCTGTCAGCTTGTTTAATTTGAGGAGGAAAAGGAACAGAGAAGAAAAATGCTAAAACCGCCTCTTCCATCCTCAACACACCTTGATAGCCAGAAATAGCCTCTAAAGTGTGTCTGTCTACAAAGGTAGAGCATAGCTCTTGAAAACTTAAGAAGAGCAACTGATCCAAGAAGAACAACTGATATTTTATTAATAGATGCAGTGGCGTTAACAGGAAGTCCTGCTGAAAACACCTTGTGCTGCACACTGTGACATTTAACGTGTTTCGTTTCACCATTTTAATGATCCATCAGCAGAAACTTCTGTTTTGCTGTGAACTGACACTGTTGTTTCTGTTTTGTTCACAGCTGCGAGTCTTCAAATTGGCAAAGTCCTGGCCGACGTTAAATACACTTATTAAAATCATTGGTAACTCAGTGGGTGCCCTAGGTAACCTCACTCTTGTGTTGGCAATCATTGTTTTTATTTTTGCGGTGGTGGGAATGCAGCTTTTTGGGAAAAGCTACATAGACAATGTCAAGAAGATAAGCACAACGGGCAATTTACCACGTTGGCACATGAACGATTTCTTCCATTCGTTCCTCATTATATTCCGAATTCTCTGCGGGGAGTGGATCGAGACCATGTGGGACTGCATGGAAGTAGCTGGGCAACCACTGTGCCTTCTCGTCTTCTTGTTGGTCATGGTGATTGGAAACCTAGTGGTGAGTTGTCAAGATGTTTCTTCTCTCTTTTCCGATGGGCACAAGCAAAAATACCCATTTTTTAACTCAGAAACTGCAAATCTCTCATTGTTCTCATTGAACCGTGTTTTCACTAAAGATATTTGTTTATATCTCAAGCACAAAAATTAATAGTGTTGTGCTAGTAATCAGACTTAACATTTTTGCAGAAGGACAGGAAATGTTTTAGTAGCAAAAAGGCACATGAATTGGCCATGGTGATTTTATTTCTTAAACCATTTTCAGATGTTAAGTGATTCTACTTTTTTTTCACCGTATCGGAGGTATCAGGGGAATATTTTTATTTTCTTTTTAGTTTAGTCCGTTTTTGGTGCAGGATGTATGATTGTTGCATCTAACCTCGCGTCTTTGCGTGGAATTTTGAATGTATTCCTCCTGCATGTTCTAGGAAGCTGCAGGTTTTACTTATAGTAAAGTCAGTCACTTGCTTGCCTTTTTAGTCGAACATCCCATAAGTGTGGATTACATAAGCTCTGAGCCTATTAAGGCTGAATTGTATTTCCCTGTTGACATCTTATGGAATGCTTTGCTGGCTTGCACTGGTTGTGCAAATGTTTTGCCCATTCAGGTTACAGAGTGTCCCTGACACTGTGGCTCTAATGGGCTTGTTGTTTATGTGGTGAGTTGTTTAACAGTAGATCTTGCTGTAAACATGTTGGGATTTGCTACCGTTTGCTTTTAATGGTTGTTGTTCTTTTAAGCATCCAGTGCTGTGGCTCTCAGCTCATGGGGTTGAGAAGTTCATGAAAAAACTTAGAGAAGTGCAGAGCAAAGAATTTTCATTTACATTAATTTAAACTTTATGATTACATTTGCACTGAAATATTGATCGGAAAAGCAACCAGTATATTATAGTTATTGGCTACCTAAATGAAAAAAATTAAACTATAATTACTCAGTGACAAAAAAAAAAACCTTTACTTTTTTTTCTAACTTCAACTTTTTTTTTTTTTATATATATATATATATATATATATATATATAACTCTATGTGATCAGAAAAATTAGGGTTCTTTATTAATTTTGAAGAGTTTAGTCTAACATTCAGAAATGTAATCTCTGCTGCTATTAAATGATAGATTTGTTATGTGGTAATGAAACCTGAAAATAATACTTCGGAAATACCTGAGCATTTGTTAACATTTGACGTATTAATGGATTATTGATAAAAGTGAAATTGCAACATCTGTTTCCCTTAGATATTAACAATCATCAGTATGCACAAGGATTGGTAAATATAAAATCTCATCTATCTAGATTTAAGTGCTCAGCAAAGACCATTCCAGATGTAAGAGATGTTGAAAAGCTGTCAGTATGGATGATTCTGAATTCACTAGTTGAAAGCAAAAATAGTAGCTTTATCGTTTCCATTCAACAGTTTGATAAGCATGTGGCAATCACTGGTAAATAGGAGTAATAATTGTATGTGGTTCACTCAGAAGCACAGGGAAAAACAGGAAAATGGTTCATAAATATAATAGTACTAGGCAAATGGAAGTAGTACAACAAATCCTGAATCATGAAACCGATGTCAGCTGTATTATGTGTAGATTTCATGGTCTTGGTTAGCAGGCGGGCAGAAAGTTCATTTCTCCTTCTGACATCAGAAAGAAAATTCTTGTTTTTTTTCATGCGAGTGAATTGACTTCACAAACTCTCCTTTAGTTTCTCTTTTAAGTTTCCCGAGCTCCTTGTTTCTCACTTGACTTCAAGGAATGAGTTCTGATACTTTTTTAATAAGAAAAATATTGAGATTATATCTCATTTAGACTGAAAACTTTGTTGTATTGTCTGAAGACATAGAGGAAACCCTGTATCATTTTTTTTGCTGTGTAGCAGATCTGCACACTCATCTAGATTAAATACTGTCAAATATTTTCCCCTCTCAAATATGCCAATATTCGTGGTAGCATCTGTGGTCACTTTCCCCACTGGAAAACTAAGCCCTCCACTTCAGAGCCATTTTGTAAATACATTTTGAGTTTTTTTGGTGTTTGTTTCCTGTAGTATCTGGCTCTTTTTTTCTGTAGTATCTGTAGACTCCTATGGGAAGAGGCAACTTGGTTACAAATGCTGTGATCTTCTGATGCATTTAGTGATTTGGTTTGCTGGTCTTATCAAGACTCACTAAGATAAATTTAAGGAAAGGAGAAAGAAAAGCGTGGGAAATAACTACCCATTTCCATGTCACAGAGCAGTCAAACAGTTGAAAGGAAGTTAGTAAGTCTTAAATTTTTTGCTGGTATTTATATTTCCTGAAAATGTCTTGGATCTCTGCAGTTCCACGTGAAACTATGTTCATTACTGGTCAGCAGGCACTTGAGTCATCTTCAAAGAACTAGTAGCATAACTACAAAACTATTGTCTGTGCAACTGCATTTTGTACAATGACATTGTGCTGCTACCATCAGATAGCATTTTTTGTGTCACTGAAGACACAAGGTAAAGGTAAAGGAGGGGAATGACTGTAGTTTCTTCATCTTTTATAAGAAATATCATCTGAAATTGCTAGCTGATAGTTATGTTTGCTTTTAAGTTTTGTAAGGAAGTTAACATATTTCCTATGTACATTTATATTGTTGAAGTTAGCAGGGAAAATTACTCCGTATGACGTATTAAAAAGATGTAGACAAATCCAGGCAACTCTCTCCTGCTCTACTGGGCCAGATGGTGCTGCAGTCCAGGGTGTGATACCACCCACTTCCCAGGACATGATTGTGTGTAATGGTCTAGGGACCGCTGGGGCACTAATGACGTGGATGAATAAACCTGGTGGCTCAATCGCACATGGAATAACCTTTGAACCTCTTTGTGTGTGCATGACGTGCACCAGCCAAAGAGGAATTCAGCTTTGAAGATGTCCTTTTGTTCTGCCCCTGCAAAAAAACTGTTCTCCGCTCGCTTCTGCAACACCTCCAAATGAAGGTGTTGCACAAGGTCACTCACGGTCTCTGCTCATGCCCTGAACAGGCTGCGTGTGACAAAGTCAGCATCTGAAAAACATCTCGCAATGTTAGCCCATGCAGAAAAGTGCTGAGCCTTGGTGCATCAACTTGCCCTCAATAGTGAGTCCTGAATTGCTCTGGACACACCTCAAGTCTTTAGTGTACTAGCATAAAATATATATACATGAGAATGTAGCTGGCCATGTCCCAGTCTCCAGAAGCATCTGGAAATTACCTGAGTTGCAGATTCCCCAGACAGCTCTTGGAGAAGAGAAGGTTTGAGGGAGTTATCTAGTGATATCTAAGCTGGTCATGCTCTGAGCAGGAGCTGGGCCGGTGTCCACCAGAGGTCTTCTCCAACCATTATCAATCGTTGATGCTATAGTGGAGAGGACAGTCAAACGAGTTGTAAAAGCAGTTTTTTAGACCCACAAGCAGGAGATGCAGCTAGCCCTAAACACACAACTGATACCTCTGCAGAAAAGGTTAAGTATGTAATTACAGGCATAACCAGGTGTGTGTTACAGACTGATTGGCTTGCCAGACCAGACTGCTCTTTGGACTAACATGTCTAGCACCACGGGGAGATGACTTTATTGCTTTGAGCACAAGTTCCTCATCAAATATATTTATGAGTGTGACTTTCAGGTATTCCCACCAATCAGATGAGGCTTATAACAGCAAGGTCAATGCATAGAGCTAGGCAAAGGGAGGAGTTCTCTGACAGGGCTGAAAGATAAAGCATGATCTTTTAGCATTAGTCCTTGGCTTTTTCTTTTTTTCTTTTTTTTTTCCATTAAAATACTGTTGCTTGGAAAAGTATTAATGACATTTTCTGAGAATACAGATGTAGAAAGCACCACCACTTTCCAGGGTATCCTGTAAAGATGACTGCCTAACTGTTATCAAATCAATACACATGCATGAAATTAAGAAATACAAGGCATACAATCATGCACTTAGCCCTGTTTAAGAATTTATGTTATGATCAAGTAGCTAATCAACATAAAATGCTTGAGAGAATAATAAAAGCATACATATCAGTCACTGTGGATGTCTGCATCGGAGACAAATGCATGGAGCTTTTATAGCCACATCTGGTCAGTGGATTCCATGAAATTATAAAATACTTTACCCCAAAAGACATCTAAAATACACTGAAAGTAATGATATTAAAACACTAAATTTAGTTATTTCTGTCTCTGAAGCCTTGGGATACTGACTCAGCTGCAGACATCTGCATAGACATACCACTGTGGCTGACTGGGTCAGCAAAATGTTGTAGCTGTGAAAAAGGTAAATGAAATTCTAGTATATATCAGGCCTAATATTGACAGAGTAAGGAACATAACAGTGCTGTTGAACAGGGATATGCAATACTGTATATATAATACACTCCATTAATGACTCAAGAATGATTAAATCAAACTGGAAAAGAGTGCAAAGAATATGAAGTTGATCAGGGTAATGCAGATCTAAGCAGGGAGGAGAGCAGTTTATTTTCTGGGACAGCACTCACCCCAAACTAAAGGAGTATAAATCACCTATCAGTACCTTTAAGGTGGGATTGAAAAGGAGACTTATGTCTCTCAGTGCATGGAAGTCGTTCAGGAGAAAAAGCTTTGTGACCCAAGAGGACCTTCCAGTCCTGTTTTCTCATGTGTGCTTGGCAGCAGAGCTGTTCAGCATGGCTTAGATAAGATTTTAACTGGCCTGCTTTAATTAAACCCAATGGTTTGTCGTAGAAGGAGGAGAAAGGCAAGATGGATGAAGGGTCAGTGAGCATGGATCCTGGCATGACAGATGTTCAAGAGATATTTGGGACAGAATATCAAGAGATATTTGGGATAAGGGGATTGTTTGAGTAGGGAAGAGATGTGACTACAGGTGTATGTAAAATTCAGTCTGTGACCAAAAATTCATGGGAATTTCCTATCCAGGGTCCTGCTCTTAAGTAATAGCCCCTAAGTGACACAAGAAGCCATTGGGTCCCATGTAATTAGCTAGTAATTACAG